AAAAAAAAAAAAAAAAGAAGGAAAAAAAGTCTATAGATCTAAAAGGGAGACAAAGACAAGTGAGAATTATGTAGCAGGAACATACAAGGAAGCAGGAGGCCAGAGGAGTGCAGATGGTGATCCACACTCAGAAAATCCCCCTGAAGGACAGAAAGACATTGGTCCCACTCCAGCCAGATCCCTGAAGTTCTGGCCGATGCTCCATTCACCCCAGCCCTCCAGACTGGACCTGCAGAGGCCTGACAGTGCCATGGGGAGACCCTGGCCAGGCCCCGTGGGGAGACCTTGCCGACCATACAACAAGGCAGAGGGTTAGGAGGCCCCACTTCTGATCTGCTATGTGTTGGGGTGCAAGCACTAGATATCTGTGCACTTCTCAACAGTTAAACGGGGAGACTGCTTGGCCCACCTAAGACACAGTGAAATAATGGAAGTGAAAGCACTCAGTGCATCAAGCAAGGCCTTCAGACAGCATGGGTGGCCGTTTTTTACTGGTGGCTATGGGGGTTTGAAGAAGGAAACCCAGGCAGATTCCCTCTGGGCTCTGGTGCCAGCTCTGCCAGCAATGGGTGTGCTCTGTAACCTCTGAAGTGTCTCTTGCTGTCTCTGGGTCTGTTTCCCTGTCAGTGCAGTGAGAAGGTTGTACAGCATCCTCTGGTTCCTTGCAATTCAGACACATTGGGATCAGAAGCCAGGGACACCCAGAGAGAGAGACTGGGGTTGAGAAGACGGAGCATTATCAAAGGCTGAGCCATAAAAGAAAGTGCCACCTTCCCTGGGTTCATCTCAAGGAAAGAGGCCCAGCTCAGCAATTTAATGCCTGGTCCCTCAATCCCAGGGCACTCACAGAAACTGTCTGGAGGGAAAATGAAGATTCTCTAGCGGTGCCTAGATTGAATACCCACCCCGGGCCCTGCGTGGCCTTCCCCCTTTCCCTCCTAGGCCTCACCCTTGGTATCTACTCTTCAGCACCTCAACCTGGGCCCCATCATCCAGGCCCACCAATGACACAGCCTCTGCACAGGAGCAACTCGATGGTTCCTCCTGCCCCTGCCCTGGGAAGGGTGAGTCCACACTTCAGGCACGCAAGGCCCACTCAGGGTGTTGCTTACTAAACAATCACCACACAAACTGCAAGTTTCTCTTTCTTTCCTCACTCAGGAGGCTCTATGCGGAAGCAGCACCCTCAACCCCCTAATCCTCATGCTGGATTCAGGGGTTCAGGACCATGGAGCCAAGGGGCTCCCCCATCCAAGGGGCTGAATTAATGACTATCTGGGCAGGGGAGTGAGCAGGTTTTCAGGGGCTAGTCCCAAAGGGTGACACCTGCATGGGCCCTAAATGAGTTTCACCTGCTTAGGCCTGGGTGCCTATGCCTAGAGGGACCTGTATCCCCAATAAGCTTCAGTGTCCCTCTTCTTCTCCCCCCCCAACACACACACTCAAGACATATGATCTCAAAGTAAGGCCGGAAAGGAAAGTTGGCCAGGGCTTCTCCATGTCACCAAATCCCAGCCTCCCCCCACCCCCACCAGCACCAAGATTGCCCCAGCACACAGCAGCAAAAAAGCGAAATGGGTGGCTGGACACGGCCAGCCCAGGAGAGAGAAGGAGAAGGCGCCGGGATGTCCATCCCAGCGCTCTAGTTTCCCACACTGAGGGGCTAAGAGGAGCCTTGCCCCGCAGGCTCAGAGTGTCTGCTTCTCTCGTTCGCTGCAACCCCCAGTCAGGCAGAGGGCTGGGCAGGGGCGCGCACCAACTCTGGATGAAGCCAGAGTTACCTCTTCCCCTCCACCAAGGTAACTTCTTGCGCGCACACATCCGTCTCCTTTTTGAGTTCTCTGGCTGTTGGCGAAATTCCCCGGGCGAAACCGACCCCTTAAGAGCTTTCCCCGTCCTCACTACAACCCTACCCTCTGCCTCCTCAAGCTTAAGCCAAAACGGCAAAGAACACGGACACACTATCGATGTCTAGCCAGGGGGAAAAAAAAAAAAAAGAAAAAAAAGTCCTTGTTCCGGCCCAGGCACAGAGGCTCTCGACCGCTCCGCCCCACGAGCTAGCGCTGCTCACTCACCGGCCCTGCTTGGTAATGATCATCTCCGTTTGGTGCTGATTGAACTTGGACCACAACAGGTGGTTGTTGAGCGCGACTCTCAGCTTCCCCGACACTTCCAGCCCCGCAGGCAGCCCGTAGTCTTCGCGCGATCCTGGGTAGAGCCCAGCCCGCGGGTCCGGGGCGGGGTAGCCATCCCCGGGCTGGTAGCTCTCCGTGCCCGCCGGCGGCGGGAAGGGTTCGCCTGCGCCGGGGAAGCCAGCCGCCTGGGGCCGGGGCGGATAGGCGTAGGCTCCGAGGAAGCGTCCGGGCGGAGCCGGCACCAGGGCGCCCGGGGCGTAGGGCGCACCCAGGCTGCCGCCCCCACGACGGTCGGCCGCGTCCTGCGCGCCTGGCTCCGAGTAGAAATAGCGGTGCTGTGGGTCGGCGCCCGGCGCCCGACCCTCGTCACTCGTCGGCATCGGCTCAGTGCCCGTCAGCATGTCTCTGCAGCCCGGCTCCACGATGCCCATCCGGGGCGGGCTGGGCACCTTCCCGCAG